TAGATGGCAGCCCACCAGGCTCCCCTGTCCCTGGAATTCTCCAGGCAAGAACACTGGAGTGGGTTGCCATTTCCTTCTCCAATGCATGAAAGTGAAAAGTGAAAGTGAAGTCGCTCAGTGGTGTCTGACTTTTAGTGACCCCATGAACTGCAGCCCACCAGGTTCCTCCGTCCATGGAATTTTCCAGGCAAGAGTACTAGAGTCGGGTGCCATTGCCTTCTCTGATGACAGAGCTGGCACTGTCAAAAACAACAATAGACCTTCTACTAGATTTCTTGACCATGTGTCTCTATAAGAAATATATTTACAGATAATGGTATTTAACTTCCATATAAGGGCAATCTGGAATTTAAATGATTTATTTTTATTTTTATTTATTTTATTTTTATTTATAATTAGTTTCAGATGAGTAGAATATTTAGGGGGAAATATCTGGGGAAGACTGGGCTCATTCTTAACTGCCTTCTAGGCCACATCTCTTTTTCTTTAAGGAAAACCCACAGTCACCATGGTCTGTATATTTGAACAGTCTATTCTGCACAGCTTCTTATAGAGTGACCTTGTAACAGACTAGGAAGACACGGGCAAAATGAAGGGCCCCTGGAAGTGGGACGATTAAGCACTCTGTTGGCCAGTGCCTGTCCTGCACAAGTGGCTCCTTGTGCCCCCTACTGGATTTTGAAAGAACAATCTCTCAGCCTCAATTCAAAGGTGAGATTCCAGCAAGTATTTTCTGCAGGTGGAACATATTCGTAATCTCCTTTAAAGCAGAACTATTGTAAAAATTTGCCCTGTACACATTGTCGTGAGGGAAATCACCATCAGTCGAAGATTCCCATAGTCAACTGACTTTTATTTTTTGGGGCCATGCCATGAGGGTTGTGGGATCTCAGCTCCCTGACCAGGGATCAAACCCGTTCCCCTTCAGTGGAAGCAAAGGCTTAACCACTAGACTACCAGGGAAGTCCTCCAACTGATTTCTTTACCATCAACAAGCTCTAGCAATTACAGCTGGCATTTATTGAGCATGTGTAGTATACTATGCACTTTATAAGCATTGTCTCATTTTATCTTCAATTAACCTTATCTAATAGGTATCAATATTTTCATTTTACAGATGGGGAAACAACTTTAAGTGTTTAAGTGGCTATTAGAGCTAAAAAGTTTCTGTGCTCCTAGGAAACAGGGTTTACATTGCCTACTGCTTTGTATGTAGCAGACATTCCATAAATAGTTCAATCAGTTTTTTAATGTGAATAAATAGAGCACCATTCTTCCTAATGCTTTGAGCCCTTTGACCTATTAGAATTTTAAGCAGCTTTTATCCAATGGAAAATCAGAATGATTTCCATTTATTTTGCTTCTACACACATTCCGGGGGCAGATCTCACTCTAATATCTCATTAACCCTACAATGACACAATTACTTTCCCAATTTTAGAAACAAGTTAATGAAGGCTTAGCTGGCATTCATATTTGATGTTTTTATCACACCAAGTCAAGGCAGAGGAAAGACCAAAGGCATGCGTTAAGAAGAACCTAGTTCTGGGATTTCCCTGGTGGTCCAATGGCTAGGACTCTGAGCTCCTAATGCAGGGGGCATGGGTTCAATCCCTGGTCAGAGAACTAGATCCCACATGCAGCAACTAAGAGCTCATATACTGCAACTAAAGATTCTGCATGTTGCAACTAAGGCCAGGTGCAGCCAAATAAATAAAATATTTTTTCCAAAAAGAAGAAGAATCTAGTTCCTACTGCATAGCCACAGGGAGCTATATTTAATATTCTGTGATAAACCATAATAGAAAAAATATAAAAAAAAATGGGTATATATGTATAATTGAATCACTATGCCATACAGTAAAAATGAACAACATAAATCAAGTGTACTTCAATAAAATAAACTTTTTAAAAAAATGAGCTTGACCTTAAAAGAAATTTTAAAAAAGAAGAACCTAGTCAAGTTATGACCGGAAAAAAGGGCTCAAGATAAACTAGGTGGGAAACTGTCCTCAAAGAGGACAGTTCTGTTGAGTATGTCACTCAATGGACAGAGTTCTGTGCTTACTAAGCACTATACTAGGCGTGGGGGAGATGACACCAAATACTCATTTTGAGAAAAGCGAAAGAGAGCTAAGTTGCTCAGTCGTGTCTGACTCTTTGCAACACCATGGACTGTAGCCTACCAGGCTCCTCTGTCCATGGAATTTTCCAGGCAAGAGTACTGGAGTGGGTTGCCATTTCCTTATCCAGGGGATCTTCCCGACCTAGGGATTGAACCTGGGTCTTCCACATTGCAGGCAGATACTTTACCATCTGAGCCACCAGGGAAGTCCCTGATTTTGATAAACCTATGAGCTTTTAGGGAAGAGAAGACAAAGACACATAGACATAAGGAAAATGAATTCACAGCGTGAGAGTGTAAAAAGAAAAAGCACGCAGGATAGCGGTAGTTATTGAGAAATGGCTAATATAGGCAATAAGTTCAGAAGAGGAAGTGATTATATTTGTATAAATTTATGCTGACCTCAGTACCTTCACAAAACCTCTTTACTATGAGTTGTAGGAAGACAATGAAATTTGAGAGAGCACCTGGCTTTGAAGGAGCTCCCTTTCTTCCCTGAGAAGCCCAGAGACCTGATCATCAAGACCCAAAAGACAGTGCTGAGACAACTCCCCTTGCTACTGAGTCTGGGTATTATGAATTATTAGCTAATGATGTTTCTCTCTCTGTATTTTTCCCTCTTTCTAACTTTAAGCAAGAGTAGCCTGGAGTCCTTTTTGGGCTTTGCTTTTGACATTTTGAAGCCCTTCAGAGAACTTAAAGCAGTGGTTCTCAACTCTGGCTCCTCTTGGAATCACCTGGGGAATTTTTAAGACTGCCACCTGGGTCCCACACCCAATACTCCCCCACAGGGAAGGTAGAAAGACTCCCCTCACCCTGGGATACATACACAAATCACCAGGGGATCTTGTTAAAAGGTAGATTCTGACTCAGTAGATCTGAATGGGACCTGAGAGTCTGCATTTCCAAAAAGTTCCTAGGTGACCCCAATGCTGCAGGCCCACAAAGTGGCAGAGATCTGCATGGCCATGACTCTAGGCCATCTCCCTTAAGATTCCCACATGCATCTCAAACATGGAATAGGAGGAGTCACAATCTGTCAGACCTGAAGGGTTCCACAGACAGGGACAGTGGACAGCTGTGCAGTGACCTGTTTAGACTTATGACTGAGAAGCAGATGGTCCCCATCTGCAAAGCTTTCTACACTAAAAGGGGAGCATATCCCGGCAGGGGATCCTGGCAGATCACAGATGACTCACTCAAAAGGGGTCTAGAAATCAGAAGGCAAGAGAAGTCAGCTGATACAGCCCAAAGTCAGCCTCCTGGGCACGAAGCAGGGTGAGGGGTGGAAAGCAGGCCCAGAGGGGTAACATACAGATAACAACATATCTGTATGCTACAGATAACCTGGCATAATCCCCAAGAATGAGGTGAAATGCTCTGCCAGGCCAGCTACCTTGGCCTGTTTGACTGCTATAACAAAATACTGGGACTTCCCTAGTGGTCCAGTGGTTAAGACTCCATGCTTCCACTGCAGGGGGGCACAGGTTTGATCCCTAGTCAGGAAACTAAGATCCTACATGCCATAGGGTGCCAAAGAAAGAAAGAAAGAAAAGAATGAGGTGAAAAGTTCTGCTAGGCCCTCTATCTATGTTTGGGCTGCTGTAACAAAATATTAATACTCTGGACTGGCTAGCTTAAACACATTTATTTCTTATAGTTCTGGAGGCTGGAAAATCCAAGAGCAAGGCATCAATAGATTTGGTGTCTAGTGAGAGCCTGCTTCTCAGTTTACAGCGGGCATTCTTCTCACCGTGTCCTTGCACAGTAGAAGTGGTGAGGGAGCTGTCTGGGGCGTCTTTTTTAGTGGTGCTAATTCTGTAATGGACCAGGGCCCCAGGGGCCTTTCTGGAACAGACCTCTCCCCCCATGTCCTCAGCCTGCCTGCCTCTTGTTTGTAGAAAAGCTGTAGTCTCCAGGCCTCCCCTGAGTCACAAAAGCCTGGCTCAAGAATTAACTATTGAAAGGATGTGAATATGTAGTGACACAAGAAGCAGTTAAGCCAGGAGAACTGCTAAGAATTTAAATAGTAAATCAGCCATACAGCAGTCACAGAATTTTTAGGCCCTCCCTGAAGTACCTGGTAACAGTGTCTGATGCACGTTTCCTGCATTGTTTTACAGATACTAAAACCCCCCACAAAATGGAAGAAGTTAACTACCCGATGACCATGAAGACTTAGCCCCCAAAACCTGAAGACTGATAACGTTGACCTCTGTTGACACCACCCGGTTACCTCACCAGCAACCGTAATCCTTTGATTCACATACCCTGTCACTCCCCGCCCTCACTTTTAAAAATACCTCTCTGAAACCCATTGGGGAGTTTGGGTCTTTTGAGCAGGAGCCACCTGTTCTCCTTGCTAGGCTGCGCAGTAAACCTTTCTCTTTCCCAACTCCAGCGTATCAGTGTGTTTGGCCTCACTGTGTGGTGCACACGATCTTAGGTTTGACAGTTCCAACAGAAGGGCTCCATCCTAATGACTTAATCACTTCCCAAAGGCCCCACCCTCCAATACCATCACATTAGGGATTAGGATTCAACATTAGGAATTTTATGAGGACATAAACATGATGGCTCCGATGGTAAAGAAACTGCCTGCAAATGCAGGAGAGCCAAGTTTGATCCCTGGGTTGGGAAGATCCCCTGGAGAGGGAAATGGCACCCTACTTCAGTATTCTTGCCTGGAGAATTCCATGGACAGAGGAATCTGGCAGCTATTTATTGTCCCTGGGGTAGCAGAGTCAGACACGCCTGAGCAAGTAACACTCACTTTCACACTGTAGCCCTATGGGGATGCCACCTCAGTCAGAAATTAAGTTGGTATGAAAAATAAAATGATGTCAGAATTTGCATCTGAGATTCTTACCCCTTAGAGCCGGGAACTTACTGGAAGTTCCACATGAAAGCACTCAAACATCCGCATGAGTGGTAGATGGACTGCAACCCCAATAGTAGAGCTTTGGGGACAGTGTTTATGTCCCTGTTGGAGAACTGATGTGCAGAAAAGAGGTGGGTTTCAGAAGTCGCTGCTGCTTTCAAGAATGTGTTGAGAATGAGCCACACGTGCTTTGCAACCTGCCCACAGGTGGACAAAAGAAGGAAGAGAAAAGTAATGCTGTATTGGTTAAAGTTTGATGACAATATGGATTTCCCTAGCTTCTCAGAAAAATACTTAGAGAGGCAGTGGGAACAAAAGTTAACATTAGGGCCCCACCTCACACCCTGAATTTCTTAAAGCTGAGACTAAACTAAACCTCTTACCGTTTTTCTGGGAAGAGAAGAGTATAAGCCTGAGGAACTCCAGCACAGGTGAAAGTGGGGAACCAATCTGTTTAGAACCAATTTTGGCCGGCTTGAAACTTAGGATCAGTGGGTTCTGATTTGGTTTAAGGTGAACACCTGTGGGTTCTCCCAGCCTTTGAAGTTTGGAAAGGAGGAAGGGGCTGGAAATGGCCTCGCATTTCTAAGGTGAAGGGGGCTGGATGCTGAATGGAGGGTTCAGCAGCACCTTCTCAGACCTGGCTAGAGAGAACAGCTGGAAAGTTCTCAGGCAGCATACAGAATTTCAGCTGGCACTTCAGAGTCCTTTGGGAAGCCAGGCAAGAGTTCCTTGTGCAGGATTCCTGAGTAGGCTGCCAAGGCCAAGGGACTCTGCACACTTGCAACTGCCTACATGTCTCTGTCATCAGTGCAAGGGCCTGGGGACATGTTAGGAGAAACTGAGCTTTGGACAAGCAGGCAGAGTTATACATAGAGTCCAGATCTTCTTGACCTTGAGTTTTATTTCTCACACTGTTCTAGTGTCTCAGAAGTGAAAGGGTTTAGACACACTGCACTGGGCATTGGTTAAGAAGCTGAAGTAATAACTAGGCCTGCTCGTTAGACATTGTTCTGAGACCCACTATACTCCAAGTGCCAAAAGAAATTCCATGTTAGGGAGTTCCCTGGTGGTCTAGTGTTTAGGATTCCAGGCTTTCACTGCTGTGCTCCATGTTTAATTCCTGACCAGGGGTTAACTGAGATTCTGCAAGCTGTGTGATGCAGCCACACACACACCCCCACCCCCACAAATTCCCAGGTTAATTAAAAACTTATAGATAGATAAATACTACAATGAAAGAATTAAAACAAAACTTAGGCAAATATTTAGCTGATTCTAAGGAAGGCCTAGGGGAGGGTCCTTTCCTTGTTTTTCTCAGCTCCTAGAGGTATCCACAATCCTCCACTCGCCACCCCCTTACTCCATCTTCAAAGCCAACAACATGGCATCTCTCAGACTCTTCTTTCATCACCACATCTCTCTCTGTCTTTCTCTTCCATGTTTAAGGGCCCTTGTTATGACACTGGGTCTACCCAGATAATCCAGGATAATTTTCCTAGCTTAAAGCCAGATAATTATCAAACTTAATTCCACCTGCCATATAAGCACAGGTGCTGGGGATTAAAAAGTCTTTGGGGCCATGATTCTGCATACACAATTGGTTTATTCCATATACGAATCTGAAACTATTTAACATTAATATTTTAAACAGTTTAAATGTAATATTTAAATTAATATTTTAAATTTAATATTAATAGATATTTTAAAATTAATTAATAAAATTAATGTTGTAAATATTTAAGCATTTAAAAACCAGCCCGAATGTCACTTCATGGCAAATAGATGGGGAAACAGTGAAAACATTGGCTGACTTTATTTTTCTGGGCTCCAAAATCACTGTAGATGGTGATTGCAGCCATGAAATTTAAAGATGCTTGCTCCTTGGAAGGAAAGTTATGACCAACTTAGACAGCATATTAAAAAGCAGAGACATCACTTTGTCAACAAAGGTCCGTCTAGTCAAGGCTATAGTTTTTCCAGTGGTCATGTATGGATGTGAGAGTTGGAATGTAAAGAAAGCTGAGGGCAGAAGAATTGATGCTTTTGAACTGTGGTGTTGGAGAAGACTCTTGAGAGTCTCTTGGACTGCAAGGAGATCCAACCAGTCCATCCTAACGGAGATCAGTCCTGGGTGTTCATTGGAAGGACTGATGTTGAAGCTGAAACTCCAATACTTTGGCCACCTGATGCAAAGAGCTGACTCATTTGAAAAGACCCTGATGCTGGGGAAAGATTGAGGGCAGGAGAAGGCGATGACAGGATGAGATGGTTGGATGGCATCACCAACTCAATGGACATAGGTTTGAGTGGACTCCGGGAGTTGGTGATGGACAGGGAGACCTGGCATGCTGCGACTCATGGGGTCGCAGAGTCGGACACGACTGAGCAATTGAACTGAACTGAATGTCTATCTTAGTGTATAGATGACATAGGATATATATTCACAGGATGAATGCTATGTGCCCACTTAAAGTCATAATGTAGGAGAATATATAGTAACATGGAGTGACATTCAATGTACAGTAAGTTGTGTGTATGGGGATCCCTCTATAAAAGAATATGCACAAGATGATACCAATTACTTAAAACCAAATCCCAAAACAAACCTATATGCAAGTGAAAAAAAATGAGAGGATATAGGCCAAATATTAACAATATTTATCTCTGGATGGTGACTTTAAATTTCTTTTGCTTTTCCCCATTTTCCAAAATACACACTATACATGCATCATGTTTTCAAAGAGAAATAAAAGCTGATCGAGAACGTCTACCTAGGACAATTTTCTGATCAAGTATTGTTTAGCTTTTGACAACACTCGCTCAATCTACAGGATGGTACTCTTCATCAAAAATATTTCGAGTCTGGCCATTGGTGACACTCGCTGTTTTTTTCAAGTCCCAGCTGTCCACTCTGGAAAGTGTGACCCACGGAGGATAGGAAGGAGCCACACAATGAACTAAGCAGCAAATAGTTGCTTCTTAAACACTTTTTCAAGACCAAGCAAACTGCAAAGCACAGCCACACCCCGCAAAGAATAACCAGTAATTCGGAGCCGGATGCACAAATAAACGAGCCTCTCTCATAATCTCGCTGGCACGTGTTAATGGTTTTAATTAATAATAATACATAAAACAACAGAACATAGGCAACGCCCGTGTGCCTGACCGCTGAGTGGGGGAGAGCGGAGAGTGTCTTGACCGCGGGACCGGACCCCGCGTGCCCACCCTGGTCTGCTCCCGAAGCCCGAGGCGTCTTCCTAGCCGAGAGTGAGCCGCCTGAGCTCGACCGTAAGCACCACTGGGCCCAGAGCAGAGACCTGAGGCCGGCGGCCCTAGCCCGGGAGCGCGTTAGAATCCTGGGCTTTGCGGTGTCGGATAGGCGCGCGCCTCAGCACCTCCCCTCTCCCGGCACTCGCGGATCCCGGCCGGAGCCCGCCCCTACCACCGAGAGGTGCGCCTAGAGTGGACGAGCCCGCCGCTTCGCTCCTCCCCGCCTCCTCTATCCCGGAAGTTGACGCCGCGCGCTTCGTCGCGTGCTGCTCGCTGGGGGTGTCGCCTTAGAGATCTGCACGGGCTGGGCTTGCGAAAGGATCAACATGCCTGTGAGTTGTTTACTTTCGGGCTTCGCGTTTGTGTCGGCCTTCTCTGTCCCCCGAGGGGCCCCGAGGACAGGCTAGATCCATGGCTCCGCTGGGCCCCGGGGCTCCCTGCCGAACGCCGCTCGGCGCCTCGGATGGCACGGCTCTTTCGCGCGTGGCGGACTTGTTGGGACTTGCCCGGGCGGCGCGGCCAGCCGGGCCCTGCCAGGGCGTGGAACTGGAAGCCCGGCGCCGCCCTGGACTGCAGTCTGGAGTTGCTGGTTGGCAGGGGACTGCTCCCTGGGTACCTTACTCGGCCTTCCTGGGTTTCGGTGGGCACCCGCGAGGCTACGATCGTTTACGTCTTCTTGCTTTCTTTTTGTGGCTCTTGCCCCCCTCTGCCTCCTCTCGGAAGCGATTTTCTGCTTGTTTCCTTTTTAAAAACTGTCTTCGCAGTTGCCATACAAATCAACTCTATCAGGGACAGTCAAGCGTCAGCCACTTAAGAGTTCTTGTCAGATCAGATGTTGAACCCAGGGGTCAGAAATCACCTCGCTGTTGACGTTCTCCGGGTCTGTCTCAGCAGATTCTTCTTCAGCGGGTCCACCAGGGTCAGAATCATTTTTCTCTGGCGACTGTTATTAGTTACGAAGAACGGCGTTAACCTTACCATCTGTTTCCGGATCGTTGTAAAGCCCCTTAACTGGGACTTAGAGAACGCAAGCATTATAAAAACTGTTGATGAAAGTTAACAGGCATTAAAAAAAAAAAACACTAAAGTGTTGTCTGTTCTGAGTATGACTGTTATTCCTATTTTTGCATGTATGTTTTACATCCGGTTAAATCTGCCAGAGTTGTGGTGGCATTCTAGTACTCACTGTGCTTTTTTTTATTCAGTTAGCTAGAGATTTACTGCATCCTTCCTTGGAAGAGGAAAAGAAGAAACATAAAAAGAAACGTCTGGTTCAAAGTCCAAATTCTTACTTCATGGATGTAAAATGTCCAGGTGAATTTTCACACTTTAATTCCTTTCCTAAGGAAAATTTCTCTAAAGGACTACTTACAGAATTTCTATAAGGACTGCTCATAGTCTGTTGTGTACATTTAGATATTAGGACCCTCTGTTGGAGTAGAAGTGGGATTGCAGAATTGGAATGTCATGGGGTTATTATCATAATAAACCACTTCAGAAACATATGGGTAGGGGGTTGTGAAGATGGGATTTCCACAAGGGACATGGCATTGAACTTAGTAAGTCTTTAAGCTGCTCAGATGGTAAGTTTTCTTTTTCATTGTTTACAGTTAAGTATATTCATTCTTCATTGTAAAGCAGTGGGATCCAGTATGGTGGCCATTAGCCATATGTAGCTAGTGAGCACTTGACATGTGGCTAGTCAGAATGGAAAAATTCTTTTTCATTCTTTTTTTTCTTGAGGTATAACTGACATAAAACATTATAGTTTCAAGTGTACGATGTCATGATTTCATATTTGTATATACTGGGAAATGATCACAATATGTCTAAATTAACACCTATCACTATACATAGTTACAGTTTTTTTTTCTTGTGATAAGAACTTTAGATATACTCTTAGTAACTTTCAAATATTCAGTATGATATTATTAACTGTAGTCACTAGGCTGTATCTTTTTTCTTTTTTCATGCTGTATCTTTAAAGTGTGAAATACACACCAGAGTTTGAAGATATAGTATAGAAAAAGAAAAAAAGCTTTGTTTACACGTTGCAATGATAATATTTTGGAAATAGACTTCCGTAGATTATATTATTAATTTCATCTTAAAAAAAAAAAACACTTGTTTTTAATGTGGCTACTAGAAAAGTTTGTTACGGATGTGGTTTGCACAGCACTGAAGTTCCTAATCTTTTACAAGGTCTCTACTAGAAATACATTGAACAGGTGCTGTATTTTCTTCTGCTTTTCACTTCTAACACTGCACTGTTTTAGGTTGCTACAAGATCACCACGGTTTTCAGCCACGCTCAGACAGTAGTGCTTTGTGTAGGCTGTTCAACAGTGCTATGCCAGCCAACAGGAGGAAAGGCCAGACTCACAGAAGGTAAATCATTTGGCATTTTCTAACCCAGTGATGAGATTTTATGATTTTAGTCTTTTTACAAAAATTAGTTTAAAAGAAATGATAGATTCATAATTACCAAAATATTTTTATCTTTCATTGTGTGCTCTTTTTAGTAAAGAGTGCCCTTTTAAATTAGATAAGTTTGTACTCTTGACTTTGCAAAGAATTCCATAATCTGTTATTTGTCTTAGTTTAGAACATCTAATTTTGTTGTATTATATTTAGTCAACTGGCTTAACTTGGAATATTAGACATAAATCAGAATGGAGTAAAAGAATAAATACATGTAAATATTTTGTTTCCTATGTATTTGGTACATATGATTTAGATAGTTTTTATCATTGCTAGCTAAGCAACAGATAACTATAGTTAATATGTTAGAGGTTTGATTTCTGTGAGCAACCCATGATTAAGATAGTCTCATTTTTAATTCTTTCACTTTTGTGCAGTGAGAAGAAATAATACATATGTATATAATTTTCCATAGTAGTACTTAGGGATTTACAGTTCAATAATGATATTTAAAATTGGCTTGTGATATTTTTGGTTAACACGGTAAATTCCATGTTATTCTCACTGGAAGAGTTACAAGTGAATTGGCAACAAATCCAAGATCTAGTTAGTATGACCTGGTGAGCTCTAACTTTGAAGTCAGCACAATATTTAAGTGCAGTACTCCGCTTAAACATGTACTTGCAAGATTGCCAAAACCTGCATATCACGCAATGATCTTAGAATTTGTGCCTACATGCTGACAGATGATTAAAAGGGTACATATATATGTATCAGAGTTTTCCTAAAAGATCTGAGATGAACTCTAATGAAAGTTAATTTCTGGAGAAAAGAATTCAGAATAGTTCTTAAAAATTAAGTTTGTATTGTCTGACAGCTTGCATTAGTTTTAACTCATGGTCTTAAATGAATTTCATCATAACATTTGAGAGGACTTAATGAGTATTTAATCTAAAATTTCTAAAAGCTAAGTTTTTATGTAAAAAGTACTTTTTATCCTTAAAACTCTATACCAGAGAGAGAACAGACTTGTGTTTAATATGCTCTTGTGATTCTTTCACAGGCTGTTCATTTAGAAGGAAGCAACACTAATGATCCACACAACTTCTTGAATTTGTGTTCTATCGCAGAAAGCCTTATCAGTTCAGTAATTCCAGTTAATCTACCAAGATAATGTAATTACTTTTAATTTTGTAAGGTATACAGCAGCGCTCTCCTATTTTGGTGTCAGTTTTTCAATAAAGTTTTGATTATGGGCAAATTGCTTCTTTGCTTTTTTTAAAGTATGTGTGAATATGCTATACATTTATATATACTGTGTATGTGAGTTTGGTTTAAATATTTTTAAAAGTGTATTCTGATTAGTTTGTGTCTCACTTCAGGAACAGAAACTCAATGTTTATTTTATGTCATTTTTCAAATTGCTCTGAAGGGGTTGTGCTGTGCTGTGCTTAGTCGCTCAGTCTTGTCCGACTCTTTTTGACCCCATGGACTGCAGCCCACCAGGTTCCTCTGTCCATGGCGATTCTCCAGGCAAGAATACTAGAGTGGTTTGCCATGCCCTCCTCCAGGAGATTTTCCCAATGCAGGGATGAAACCCAGGTCTCAGGTGTTGCAGGCAGATTCTTTACCATCTGAGCCACCAGGGAAGCTTAGAAATGCAAAGTTCATTATTTATTAATTCTAAATGTAGTTTGGTTTTGTAACTATGGAAACATGTATAGAAGTACATATTTAATGCAGTAGCAATCACAGTGTAATGCCTTGGATTTATGTGCCCATGACGTACTGCATAATTTAGTACAGTAACTGTACCTGGCATCTGAGTTTTACTTAATAGTATAGCTCTTCAGGGGTAGAAAATTTGGGAGGAGGAATCAAAAGAGTATTGTGATTTTTCCAGGATGTCCTGGCAGGGGGCAGTAGATAGTACTGCATTCTCTGGTTCAGACAGGTTAGCACTGGTGACTGCAAAATATGTTAAGTGGCTCTGTAGTCTCATTGTCATTCTTATGGTTTATAAAGTGACCCTTGGGACTTAGGAAGTAGAGTATATCTCTCCCTTTCTAGCCCTTATATGACTGCCCATTAGACTGGGAAGATAACTGCTTCTGTTTTACCTGTTATTTTTTTTTTTCCATTTATTTTTATTAGTTGGAGGCTAATTACTTTACAATATTGTAGTGGTTTTTGCCATACATTGACATGAATCAGCCATGGATTTACATGTGTTCCCCATCCCGATCCCCCCTCCCGCCTCCCTTTCCATCCCATCCCTCTGGGTCTTCCCAGTGCACCAGCCCTGAGCACTTGTCTCATGCATCCAACTTGGGCCTGGTGATCTGTTTCACCCTTGTTACCTGTTATCTTTAAGCCAGGCACTTAAGACAGGCATTTTCTACCAAGAGGTGTTCCTATATATACACCCCTAATCTGAGAGACTGATCCATTAACAATACTCATTGGTATATCAGAGGAATGTTGCATGAGAACTGAAGAACTGTGGAAAGTTTGGGGTGTATTGTATGAGAAGCAGATAACTCAGGGCTTCCCAAACTTTCTTGGTATATAGCCTCTAGTTTCAGTAATTTTTTTCATGGAGTCCCCTGGCCAAAAGAAATAGCTAATGGTTAAATTTATTAAGTAGTTAAATTATAGAAACTTTAGTACTAAAGTAAAAAAACTACATGTAAATTAGAGCCAAAGTGATACTTTTTGCTTCGTTCTTAAGTGACCTGCTAATGGAATGAGTGTGCCTTCTGGGTACTGAATATTTTTCAAAATTTGGATCACATTGGACACTGCCATCTTCATTTTTTCCACATTGATTTTTGCATAGTATTAATTTTTATTACAGCAATGACCCAAAAGCCAGCTTCACAAAGATGTATCACCAAAGGAAATGTGGTGCTATCTAAATGTGACATAATTACCTGGAACTGGAAGTTTGTATGGTCTCCAAAAGATGTCAAGTGTCAACGTTTGCTCCAAGGCACCTCAGCTTGCACAGTTTAGGAACTTTGGCAAAACCTGTGATAAACAGGGAGCAAATTCTTGCAAATTTTCTTGGAAATAGTATCAAAAGAAAGAATGGTACTTTAAAGAACCTATCTAAGAGTTAATTTAAAGAGATATTTGGCACTGGGAACTGAATGGTATATTAAGTTTTATTTCATTATTAAACAGTATTACTTGATTTGAAAAATGCTCAGAAGAGAACATTCAGACTTTTCCAAACTTAAAGGTTTCCCACATACATTATTATTTAGTGAGTGTCTTTCTTTAATATCATTTATATTGTCCTCATTTTATTTTGGCTTTGTCACAGGGCATGTGGAACCTTAGTTTCCCTGACCCGGGATGGAACGCCATGCCACCTGCAATGGAAGTGCAGAGTCTTAACCACTGTCTTCATTTTTTAATGTAAGGAAAGGTTAACCTATCTATTCCATAAATTAGAAAGAAAAAATTACATAAAAATAACTAAAAATTAAATTCTTGGCTTCTGATCTGATCAGATAAATGGTTTCTTATCTGGTTGCCTCTGTGAGTCATCTGATAAAGTTTAATTTTTGTTTTGTTTCAGATATAATATTCAGTGGTTTTTATTATATTCACAATATTGTTCAACCACTGCCAATATCTAATAATTCCAGGCAGTTTCCATGATGAGAAAAAGAAACTCCATACTCACTAGCATTCACTCCCCATTGCTTCCTCATCCCAGATCCTGGCAACCACTAATATATTTTCTATCTCCTTGGATTTGCCTGTCTGGACATTTTATATAAATGGAATTAATACAATACATGGCCTATTGTGTCAGGCTTTCACTAACGTAAATATATATCATAGCCATTCATGCATGTATCAGTACTTCTTTCCCTTTTTGACTGAATATTATGTTGTAAGAATATATATTTTGTTTACCCATTAATCAGTCAATGGACATTTATGTTTTTTTACTTTTTAGCTACTATGAATTTATGTGTACAAGTTTTTGTATAGACATATTTTAAATTCTCTCATATATACATAGAAGTAGAATTGCTAGATCAGATGGTAATTGTTTAGCTTTTTGAGGAATTGCCTGTTTTCCAAAGTGCCTGCACCATTTTATTCCTCCTAGCAACAAAGCACAAAGGTTCCAATTTCTCTACATCCTTGTCTGTTTTTGTTTGTTTTTTAATTATAGCCATCTCAGTGTTTGTGAAGAGTTACCTCATTAGAGTTTTAATGTGCACTTCCTTGATGACTAATGATGTTGACTATATTTAAATGTCCTTATTGGCTATTTGTATATCTTCTTTGGAGAAATGTCTATTCAGATCCTTTGTCCATTGTTAACTGTGTTGCCTTTTTATTTTTGAGTTGTAAGTTTTCTTACATATTTTAGATACAAATCCCTTATATAAATGGTTTGCAAATATTTTCTCCCATTCTGTAGCTTGTCTCTTCATTTTTTGTCCTTAGAAACACAAACATTTTTAATTTATATGAAGTCTAATTTATCTAATCTTTTTTGTTCGTTTCTCGTGCCTTTGGTGCCATATCTAAGAAATTATTTCCTATTCCTAGGTCACAGAGATTTGTGCCTGTTTCCTTCTAAGAGATTTATAGTCTTCATTCTTACATTTAGGTTTGATCTGCTTTGAATAAATTCTGCATATGGGAAAGGGAAGCAGGGATCCAACTTCATTCTCTAATTCTTTTTAATGGCTGCACAACAGTCCATGGTGTGGAAGTACCATAATTTATTCAGTATTATCCTATTGGCGGGCAATTTGTTTCTAGTTTTTTCCCACTATAATCAATGCCATAAATATATTTAAGTATTCCTTAATTATAGCACTTTTATTTCTATGGCTTAGATTTATAGGAGTAAGACTGCTGGTTAGATAGATAAATATATTTTTAATCAAGTGATGCCAGACTGCTTTCTATCAGCAATATATGAGAGTATTTTCCCCCTTCCCCATCTTCCATAAATAAATGGAACCCTCTTTTTTTTTTTTTCCACTTTGGTGATTGTAGGGTTATTTATCAGTTACTCTAATTTGTGGGCTTCCCTGGTAGCTCAGATGGTAGAGAATATGCTTGCAATGCAGGAGACCTGGGTTCAATCCCTGGGTTGAGAAGATTCCCTGGAGAAGGGAATGGCAACCCACTCCAGTATTCTTGCTTGGAGAATTCCATGGACAAAGGAGCCGGGAAGGCTATAGTCCATGGGTTGCAAAAAGTCAGACACAACTGAGTGACTAACACACTCTAATTTGTATATCTAGATTAATGATGAGTTTAGAAGTGGAAAGAAGCCATAATAAGCTACTGTCTTCCTAGGATTCATTCTCATTTTTTTTTTAACAACAATAACAAATTCTTCAGATTAGAATTTTGGTTAAAAATAGTAGGAATATAGTTTCCTACTGATGCTCTAACAAACTACAACAAACTAGGTGGCTTAAAAACAAAAACAACACAAAACAAACATGAATTTATTATCCTACAATTTTGGAGATCAGAAGTCCAAAATGGATCTCTTGAACTTAAGATCGTTTCTTCTGGAGGAGCTAAAGGGAGAATCTGTTTCCTGGTCTTTTCTATATTCTAGAGGCTACCTGTATTTCTTGGTTACTGGCCCCAGATTATTCCATCCTTTACTTGTATCATCACATCTGACTCTAACCTCTCACTTTCTTACAAAGACCTTTGTGATTACACTGCATTCACCTGGATAATCTACCTATTTCAGGATCCTTGATTTAATTACATCTGCAAAATTCTTTTGCTATGTAAGCTAACATTCACATATTCTGGAGATAAGGATGTGGACATTTTAGGGGGCCATTATTCTACCTCTCATAGAATACAAAGTTGAAAAATTCTATCCAGATTTGAAAATTGAGATTCTATCTATAGTAATAATAACAGCTCCCTGCAAAGAAAAAAAACTCCAGGACCAGATGGCTTCACTGGGGAATTCTACCAAACATAAAAAGAACTTAAACCAATCCTTCTCAAACTCTTCCAAAGGATTTAGGAGGAGGGAACATTCCTAAAATCATTCTGTGAAGTCTCCACCATGCTGATACCAAAATCAGAACAGAGACCATACCAAAAAAGATCATAGGTCAATATCATTGATTAATATAGATGCAAAAATTCTCAACAAAATATTAGTAAGTCAAATCCAACAACACACATACCATGATCAAGTTGGATTCATCCTAGGGTCACAAGGATGGTTCAACATACACAACCAATGTGATAAATCACATCAGCAAAAGACAAAAACTACATCATCTCAATAGATGCATAAAAAGCATCTGATAAGATTCAAAATCCACTTATGATTAAAAACTCTTACTAAAGTAGGTATAGAGGGAACATATCTCAATAAAAGCTATTTATGTTGAACCCACAGCCAACATAATACTCAATGGTGAAATGCTGAAAGTTTTCCCATTAAAGTCTGGAATAAGATAAGGATGCCCACTCTTACAACTTCTTTTCAACATAATATTGCAAGTCCCAGCCATAGCAATCAGACCAAAAAAAAAAAAAAAAAGTATCAAGTTGGAAGAGAGAAAATTGTCTTTATATGCAGATGACATAATACTATATATAGAAAACCCTAAAGACCCCACACAAAAACTATTAGAACTGATAAATGAGGCCATCAAGGTATACCAAGATACAAGATTAACATACAGAAGTCTATTGCATTTCTTTACATGAACAGTGAAATATTAGGGAAAGTTTAAAAAATCACTTTTAAAAATGTCAGAATAATTGTGACCAAGGAGGTGAAAGACTTATATGCTGAGAACTATATAACAAATTGATAAAACTGAAAATGATTCAAAGAAATAGAAAGAAAACCTATGCTTTTGAGTTGGAAGAACTAATATTGTTAAAATGGCTATACTACCCAAAGCAATCTACAGATTTAATGCAATCCCTATAAAATTACTGATGATATTTTCCACAGAACTAGAAATAATCCTAAAATTTATATGGAACCATTAAAGACAGAGAATTGCCAAGGCAATCCCTGAAGGAAAAGAACAAAGCTGAAGGTATTCTATGCCCACCCTTTAGACAATACTACAAAACTACAATAATCAAAGCAGCATGGTATTGGGACAAAAACAGACACATGGATCAATGGGACATAATAGGACATTCAGAAATGAACCCACACCAAGTCCATCTAGTCAAGGCTATGGTTTTTCCAGTGGTCATGTATGGATGTGAAAGTTGGACTGTGAAGAAAGCTAAGCGCCAAAAAATTGATGCTTTTGAATTGTGGTGTTGGAGAAGACTCTTGAAAGTCCCTTGGACTGTAAGGAGATCCAACCAGTCCATCCTAAAGGAGATCAGTTCTGGGTGTTCATTGGCAGGACTGATGCTGAAGCTGAAACTCCAGTACTTTGGCCACCTGATGCGAAGAGTTGACTCATTGGACAAGACCCTGATGCTGGGAGGGATTGGGGGCAGGAGGAGAAGGGGACAACAGAGGATGAGATGGCTGGATGGCATCACCAACTCGATGGACATGAGTTTGAGTAAGCTCTGGGAGTTGGTGATAGACAGGGAGGCCTGGCGTGCTGTGATTCATGGGGTTGCAAAGAGTCGGACATGACTGAGGACTGAACTGAACTGAACTGAATGGCCAATTAATCTTTGACAAAAGAGGCAAAAATATATAATGGAGAAATGACAGTCTCTTCAGCAAGTGGTGTTGTGAAAGCTGGACAACTGCATGTAAATCAATGAAGCTGGAACACGCAAAAATAAACTCAAAATTGCTTAAAGACTAGGAATTCCCTGGTGGCCCAGTGGTTAAGACTCTCTTTAGAGTCTCTCTCTTGATAAGAGAACAACATAGGAAAAATTCTCAATTTGAATTTTTCTTGGGAAGCAGGTTAGTTTTGACTATTCTATAGGAGCATAATATTGGAGCTGCCACTGCCATCTGCACCAGAGCTCAGGAGACACCAGTTTCAGCCCTGCTCACTGTTTTGTGGTTGTATTCTTAAGTCCATGAGTATCTTTTTCATTATCTCATTTCACATTTTATATATAATGCTATGTATATAAGAAAGGTGGTGTTTAAAAGCATGACTCTACGGTGCCATTTGTCTTTAATTTGCATAAGAATAACAGAAGTTGTGTATATTCTTTATTTGCAACCAGCTTTACTATTTAAAATCCCAATATATATTTATTTTTATTCAATTTATATGAGTTTTTTTTTTACTAAATATTTCATCTATAAAGTTGCATGCTACTGAATGTCCTTTTATTAGGTCTGTAAATTTTTAGAGTTTTTTTTTATTTTTTAGCAGGAAGACAAGATAATTTTAGAACAGCCTTTTGAGTCAGATAAGCCTGGATTTGATATGAGTTCTAAGGGTTGATGGTTATGTGACTTTGGGCAAAATAACTAAAATAATTTCCACTTAATGGGGTTGTTTTGAAGATAAAATGAGTTAACATATATAAAGTTCTTAGCACAATGCCTGACACATAGTGAACGCTCTGTTANGAGTTCTAAGGGTTGATGGTTATGTGACTTTGGGCAAAATAACTAAAATAATTTCCACTTAATGGGGTTGTTTTGAAGATAAAATGAGTTAACATATATAAAGTTCTTAGCACAATGCCTGACACATAGTGAACGCTCTGTTAATAGTATTCTTTTAAATAAAAAAGGATCCTGTCTATTCAAAATCAAGAACTTTCAAGTTCTATTTTTTCTTTCAAATTATTTACCCACCTCATTACCACACTTGAGCATAGGTGCATTAACTATTGCTGCAAAGCAAGCCACCCCAGAGTTTAGTGGCTTAAAATAATGATGACATTCTTTTTCATGCTTCTGTGGGTTGATCTTACCTGGGCTTATCATGTGGCTGCCTTCATCTAGAGGCTCAACTGGACTGAAAGGTCCAAGATGACTTCAGTCACATGTCTGGTGCTGGCTGTCAGCTGAGGTATATAATAAGCTAGTCTGGTTTTCTTACCTGGCAGTCTTGGAGGCAGAGTTCTCAGAGGGTGAAGATGGAAGTTTGAAGACCTCTTGAAGCCTAAGCTCTGGAACTTAGGCAACATCATTTCCACAACATTCCATAGGTCAAAGCGAGTCACAAGGCCAGCCCAGGTTCAAGGGAATGGAGAAACAGACACCATCTTTGGCTGAGAAGAGAGGCAAAATCACATTGCAAAGCAGCATGCAAAATAGAATGGGAGGAATTTGTGGCCATTAAAAGTTTTACTACATTTTGGGAGAACTCCAATACTTATCAAGGCTATTCACTCTCCAACTCCATGAACATGTCCGCAATCAATTTTTAAAGAAATGCTTTATTCATTTCCCCTATTCTGGATGGGCACAAACATCGGTAGGAAATTTACATTAGAGGAAATCCAGGTGGCCAATGAATGCGTGAAAATAGTTTAACTTCACTAACAATAGGTAAATCCAAGTAAAAATAATCAGATATCATTTCCTGTCCATTGCTCAGTCAAAAATTAAAAGTCAGTGTTGGCATACAAACAACAGAATTAGGATCAGCTACATAAAATTGTCTATATTCAAGCATCTTTTGATTTGGAAAAAATAACAATTTCATATGGTTCAACTCAAAGAAAAGGATGTTCCTTACAGCTCTGTATATAATAGAAAAAAAAATTAGTTAAAAAATGGAGAGTATAATGTGATTATGTTGTTGTTGTTGTTACTTAGTCACTAAGTTGTGTCCAACTCTACAACCCTAATGGATTGTAGCCCACCAGGCTCCTCTGTCCATGGGATTTCCCAGGCAAGAATACTAGAGTGGGCTGCCATTTCCTTCTCCAAGGGATCTTCTTGAACCATGGATTAAACCTGTGTCTCTTACATCTCCTGCCTTGGCAGGCAGATTCTTTACTGCTGAGCCACCAAGGAAGCCCATGTAATGTGATATAGTCATACAATATCATATTTTATAGCAGTGAAAATAAACTGGATTTATATTTATCAACTTGAGCAGATCACAAAAAACAATGTTAAATTTAAAAAGGCAATGTAGAAAATGTTTTATTTACATTTATACAAATAGCACCATAGTATGCATAATATACACATAGAATATATGTATATACTTGGCTGTGAAAGTATTAAACAAGGGAGTGGATGAATATACACCAACTCCTGACAGCAGGTCCCTGCAGTACAAAAGTAGTGGGGCTTTGGGTGATGGTTCTGGGGGTCTTCAGTTTTATCTATTAAGTTTTACTCATTTTTAAATGAAGAAAATTTGACTAAATGTTAGCATTTTTAACTCTGGGTATTGGGATTACATGGGTATTTGCAATGTGAAACTTTCATGCTTTCTAGTGTTTTTTTTCCCCACACAAATAAAAGATCAGGGGAACTCCCTGGTGGTCCAGTGGTTAGGACTCTGTGCTCTCACTGCCAAGGGCCCAGGTTCAACCCCTGGTTGGGGTACTGAGATCCAAAAGCCTCATGGCACAGCCAAGGCAAAACAAAATATCAAGTAGTTATTCCAGTATCTCCTAAGAATAGAACTCAGACTATTTAAACCTGAATTAATAGCAAATAACAACATAATTCTTTATGCCTATAGTTGTGAAAATGTAGCTGTAAAATCCTAAAGGTTATAAGTAGAGGTTATTATCCTATAAAAGCAACTTCTTTCTTAATAAAATGCAATAATAAACTCTAACCCATCTAAATTAAGATTTACAGTTTTTCTATAAAAACTACAAAGACATATTTCCAGAACCTCAACTTTCAAATCTGGAGCAGAATTTTGAAATATTTTATTCTACCACAGGAAGGTAAAGCAAATCATTTGTAGCCAATAACCACCCTTGACAAGTTGTAAATTGCAGAAAACAAAAACAAAAATGCAAGCAACTTGTGTCAAATTCTCCTGAGTTCTTTTCCCTAAAGATCAGTCACACTGCAATTACCACTTTGGGAGATGAGGAAATTTATCAAAGCACTTCTAACATTTCTATCCAGCATTTATCAAAGCATTAAGTAAGAAAATGAGTTATTATGGTAAACAGGAATTCTTAATGTGGAGTCAGTGAACCCCTGACATTTGTACATTGGTTCACTTTGAGAAAGTTCCCAGCTCTTTCTCATAGCTTCAACAAGAATCCTAAAAAGTGAAAAACTTGTCTAAAGCAAGTGCCCTGTTCACAGTACACATTAACCAACTTCACAGATCTCTTCACACTTTGTGGCTGCACCCCCTCAGACAGTTCAGTCACACTGCACTTCTCTCCAGCATTCAGACAACGCGCTTTCCTCCTCTCCCAGTGTAAATGTCACCTCCTTGGCAGGTCCAAGCATTTCGCTCTATGGTCTGTGTTAAGGTTCAAAGCTCACATTGGTATCACATGATCAAACTGAAAACATGATTATTAAAGAAAAAACTTGTTTTTGTCTGTAGTGCACAGCATATATGATCTTAGTTCCCAGAAAAGGGATTGAAACCACACCCCCTGCACTGAAAAGTGGGTTCTTAACTACTGGACCACCAAGGAAGTCCAAAAACATATTTTTATCAGAAATATTTTTTTAACTTGCTGTTAGTTTGATTTCCCTTTTGTCATAATAATAATGTTTAAAATTTAAAGGATAACATTAAAGGAAGGCATTTTCTATTTATCAAAGAAGTATGGACTGAAAAATTTGACAAATGTGAATAGAAGACCTAGAAGTCAGAAGCCAGAAGCCAGAAGTCAGAAATAAGGAGATGAAATGGATCTGTTGTAGGGAGTTGCTGTCTGTATTTTGACCTCTCAGAAATACCCATCTACTTACCTCTATGGATCAAAGTGGAGTGAAGAAACAGGCTGAGAGCTCAGAACTATAGAACAGGACTCTTTTATTTGAGAATAAAAAAACTTCCACTGCTTTTTGAATTTCCCCAAATTCAGTGTAGTCTCCAATACTGATCATCTATGACTGTTACAACAAAGTTTCCCAGTATGTCAACACTATAATAAGCCATCCACGGAGCCAGTCTCCCAAGATGACTCCCAATGAGCCTTACCTTCTGGTATTTATTCAGCCTTTGTGTAGCTCCCTCACACTGAATCAGGGTTGGTCTGTGTGCTCAGGAGAAACTGGCATAGGTAGTACTGTTACTGTATGGCCTTCAAGGCTAGATTATAAAAGACACTGTGGCTTTTGCCTTCTCTCTTTAATCACTCAATCTGAGGGAAGCCATAGGACAGTCGAGCAGACCTATGGAGAAGTCCATGTAGTGAGACACTGAGACCTCTTCCCAAAAGCCAGCAAGTGACAGAAGCTTCTTGCCGATAGCCACATGGCTGAACTGTCTTGGAATTAGATCCTCTAGCCTCACTCTAGCCTTCAGGTGACTGAAAGTCCTTCTGACATCTTGTCTGCAGCCACAGGAAAGACTGTGAGCTAGAACCGCTCAGCTAAAATGCTCCCAAACTTATAAAAGAGAGAATTTTTGAGATACAGTAATTACACAGCAATAGATAATTAATGCACATTACAGTTAAAGAAGCCAGACACAGAAGGCCACATATTATAATTCCAGTTATACAAAATACCCATAATGGGCAAATCCAAAGAGACAGAGACTAGATCGGTGGTTGTCAGGGCCTGGGAGTAGAGAGGAATGCACAGCAAATGTTAATGGGTTTAAGATTCCTTTTTTGGGTGAAGATATTCTGGAATTGAATGGGCACACAATCTTGTGAATATACTAAAACCACTAAATTGGACACTTTAAAGGTCGACTTTTAAAGTATATGAATTGTGAATTGTATCTGAAATACTTTTTACATTGTAGATTTTGATACCTGGAAGGAGAGTGCAGCTATAACAAAAGCCCAAAATGGGGGAGTAAATTTAGAACAGTGAATAGAAGCTGGAAGGATTTTGAAAAGATTGTCAGTGAATGCCTGAGGAGTCTTGAAGAAACTGTTTAGAAGTATGATGGCCTTTGAAGAGGCTGCAAGTATGGACTTAAAGGAGAGTAAGAAAATGTTACTGGAAATTGGAAGAAAGAAGATTACTGCTGTGAAGTGGCAGGAAGTTTAGTAACACTATTGCCTGCAAGACCACAGAAAGTAGAAAATGTGCCTAACGAACTAGGTAATCAAGCTGAGATTTCCAGACCTAGTATTGACTCTTGGCTTCTTCTTGTTACTCATACTACAAAGCAGGAGAGAGACAAGCTAAAGGAAGGGCTACTAAACTAAAAAAAAAGGCATCAATAACTGATGGTTTAGAAATTTACCAGACTCTCCAAGTGACAAAAGATGCTAAAATTAAAAAATGGCTTCAAGGCAAAGATAAAATTAGGACACTTTCAGAAAACAAAACAAAAAACAGTCTAAAGATGAAATTGAGGGTATGATATATAAGACCCTTTATGACTGTGGAAAGAAGCAAGATGGTGTCTTGAGAGCTATTTTAACAATAGGTCTTAATAGAAGTTTAACAGTGTTTTCTCCAATTGTCTTAGCAGAATCACAAGTTAGGGGTTTAGTTCGAAGAGATTTGGGGGCACAGCTTCTGTTTATTAGCATGAACCCCAGTGAGATTTGTAAGGGACTCACAGAGTTTTAAAAAATTACATTAGCAGGAAAACTGTTAAGTTAGACTGAAAGGAGACTATAAGAGAGGCCTTTAGACCCTCAAACTTGTACAAGTAGGAAAGCAGGTTGTAGGACTTCCCTGGTGGTCCAGTCATTAAGAATCTCCGCTTCCTCTGCTGGGGGCACGGGTTGGATTCCTGGTTAGGAGCCAAGATTCCACCTGTGACTTGGTGTGGCCAAAAGTGAAAGCAGGCTGAGAAAGCCACTTGGATGCAAACACATGTTGCCTTTCATGAAAAGAAAAATTCAGAGGACAGAGCCAAGAGTTTAGAGAACACAGCCAAGAGCCAAGAACTATTTTTAGGCCTTGAGCACTAATCAAGCAGCTGCCAACCTGTGTCTGGTTGGGGAGCAAATAACATCTTTAGTTCACAAATCTTAAAATCTGTGAGTGAATGAGCATTTGGGAAACATTTCCTCTGGGACCAGAAGCCTTTAGATGACTACAACATATTGTCTGCACCCTCATTAGAGACTCTGGTGCCAGATCCATCCAGTCAAGCTACTGCTGAATTCTTGAGCTTAAGAAACCATGGGATAATAAACGTGTGTTCTTTTAAGCTGCAATAGAGAACTAATATACCATTTCTCACAATCTTGTTTCTGCTGTCTTTTTTTTCTTTTTAAAACATATTTATTTATTTGGTTGGGTGTGGCAGGTCTTGGTTGTGGCATGCAAGATCTTTAGTTGCAGCATGTGGGATCTATTTCCCTGACCAGGGATTGAACCTGGATCTCCTGCATTGGGTGCATGGAATCTTAGCCACTGGACCACAAGGGAAGGACCATCTGCTGTCACATTAAAATAACAATATTTTCAGTCTGCTGTTGAATGAGATTTCCTCTATATTACACATTCAGAAAGTACATTTTTATCAGAATATTTTATTTCAAGAGTTAACACTTTTTTCAAAAAGTAAAAATATAGTTACTTCCCTGAGTATAAAGAACTCATCCTCCAATAAAAGACAATTACAAAAGTAGGCAATTAGAGGTACATAATTCTCTGCATTCAGTTATACTCTATTACAAATTTATTCTTTAAAATTGCGTGTATTTGGGGACTTCAATGTTTCAAAACAAAA